TTTTTTTTAACCTGACTGAAAAGACATGTTATTGAATGTTTGTTCTTTGGAAAAATTATTCAACATGTATTTGTCACCAAACTATGTTATATAAAATAATGAGAAATTATATTTGACTTCAGTTGGACCATATTCACTCAAAATCAAGTGAAAAAAAAAACTTTGAACACACTTTACAACATATTTAGTTATCTATTTTGACTTGCTTTAAAACATAATGTCAAAATCTTTCCTTTACAGATTTGCTTGAATGTATTTACAGATTTACAATGACACCATTTTGTACAGTTTGTTTACTTTCTGATTCAGCTGCTTAATGTCTGAACTGTGTTTAGTGAATGTAAAAATGATCTTAGGTTTCTTTTGATACCAAACATGTCCAGGTTCAACTGACGGATCTGAAGATAAAAGAAGTTAAAGAAATAGGAAATGGAAAAAAACTGTGTTGCCCCCGGTACTGGGGGCATGGGGCTCAAGAGGTTAAGAAACACAAAAATGTCCATTGCTCAGCCAATTTAACACATTCTTAGTTTGTACTAACAAATCCAACAAGATCTCATTTCCTTGACAATGACTATGAGCATTGTCTGTTAGCAAAATATCTCATGGCCCACCTGACAGATTGCATTAAATCTCTCAGAAATGAATCACTGGATGTGCGTCTACCTCTGAATAATGTCTGGAGTCTGTCCCATTCAAGATGGCCACCACAGCTAATCAACATCAGTCAACACAAAAACAGCTGTAGCTCAGTCAGTTCAACAGACACTGAGCTGAAGCTTGATGTTGTAGTAGTTGAGTCTGAACATGGCATCCTTCAACACTGTGGGACGTTATTAGACCTGAACAGCTATAACTCCATCCTTTCTCCATATTAGATGAACTTATTCTGAAATACATCCCTAGGACTTTCATTCATGTGTTGGGTCTGAGGGAAACTTTAGGTCCAGTTTGTGCTAACCGACACCAGAGCCATTTTTTGACTGGTTCGTTGTTAACCATCAGAACCAAAACGTGTAAAAACAAATATGTTTGATGCTTTGTATAAACTGCATGCAAAGTGTAACTGGACACCTGAGGACACGTTTGACATTCTCCCTTCCTGTGTGTTGTATCCAGGTCTGAGGTGGACAATGAAAGTGAGAGGAGACAGAGGAGGCGTGGACATACGTCCCCGGACCTCCAGCTCCTGCTGGACTTAGAGTCGGACCCCTCAGACAGCAGGAAGAAACCAGCCAGCATCAGGTGATCTAAACTGCTTTTCTTATCTTGTATAATGTGTGTTTCGTTATGTTGTTAAAAACGGTTAATAACAGCCTCTGTCCTGTGATAATATGGCAGCTTTTAACCCAGAATCAAAAGTGTATTTTGTATTATAGAGAGCATTTCTGTATTTAACCTTCAAAGACACGACCACACAATGTCTCAAACGTATCAAATGTTGCTGATTAAAGTTTAGCTCCTTCAGTAAATTAGTTTGCTTACAGTAAGCAAAGTTAGAACTTTAAATGGGTAAAACTCGAAATCTCATTAGAGGAACAACACATTTTCTGACAATATACTTTTCTTGATTTAAGCTTGTGCTTTGTTTCAAAAAGAAAAATCTTGTTTGCTCTGCACACATTTACAATAAGTATTTCATGTTAGTTGAATATTTAATGCTTAAAAGCAGCATATCATACTAATAATTAAAAAAATAATTAATTAATAATAATAAGCTCAAATATTGGCTACATTTTGATGAAGCAACCTTGTACAAACAGTAAAATATTCATGGTCAAAATAAATGTAAAAGCTGTATCCAGTGGCTCATTACGGTCACTGTGGTAATAACAAACCTTTGCAACAGTTGCAGTAAAAAAACAACTAAAAATTAGATTTGTAAAATTTTTGAGCTCTAAAAAGCAGAAGACTTTGATGGTTACATGTTAATTTTTATGTTTCTACATATAATGAATATCTGACAAGTTTCAAAACCCTAATGTAGTAGTGAACTTAAAGTGAATTAAGCTTTTCCCACATCTCTCATACACAAGGTTATGAGGAAACTTTTACCAAGGTATTTCTCATTACTTGTTAATATCTTGACTGTGCGAAGTGAAAAGTGACACAAGTGAACGTTCAGATGAGTTCAAGTTGATTCATAAAAGACTATGCAATCATTTATTTACACAAATTGAACAGATCATAAGTTACACTTGATTGTGGTTATTCCTATAACAAGTGTCAGAGTTAAATGAGATAAAACCCGCGTCCGAATTTCAATTCACATCAACTTAGATTACTTATAAAGAACAGTAAAGCATCAGATCCGATGTTAACAACCAAACAATTTTACTGGCACTTTTAGCTTAAGTTTTGGCAAATTAAGAACAAGGAAAGGAGGAAAGTAAGATTAGTATGTTACTACTACTTTTACTTTTATCAAAGTGTGGGTCATCCGGAACTGCACGTCTTTTCTAAGCTCAGGTTCCACATGACACGTCACTCCGAACACATCAGCTTTACCTGATGATGTCTTCTTAAGGCACCCTGGAGGTAGGAGCTGGCTCGCCTCCGATCAGTCAGGGAACTGATGTCGGCTCGCTTACCGGTCATTGGTGAACAGGTGTTTTCCAGGAAGCTTTCGTCTGTTTCAGTCCAAGCCGGAAAAATTCAAGCCATATCCGGTTCCTCCTTCCAAAATAAAATCTCCCCTTGGGCGTTAAAAACACTCTCATGAGGCTCAGCCTCGGGTTGAGACCACCGACAGGCGTGCCGGGTCCCTGGCTGTGAAGTCTTCCCTAATTAGCTCATGGGATCAGACTTTAAGCCAAACTGGGGTTTCTCTGGAGAGAATCCCAGCTGTCTTCCTAGGTTGGAATCAGGAAGAAGAGTGTGTCGCTCAAAGCCACCCGGGTTAGTAAAAGAAACGGACAAACTTTGGTTCYGCCCTCAGGCTTAGAGATGAGTCAGAGAAAGAAAGATAAAGATTTGCCAGCTGTCGCCAGCCCAAGGTTAAAATTCTGTAGTTATTCAACAACATGATATGATAACCTCTTTTCAGCTTTCTTCTGATAGACTCTAAGAGAAATCACTGCAAAACATTTCTGATGATTAATTAACATTTCTGTTTTTATAATCAGTTCTGAACCTTCTGTTAGTCCAGATAAATGAAAGATTTTCTCAGGAAAAATCCTCAATTATATTACTATGTTCACAGTAAAATAAAACAATGATTTACATAAAAACACAATGAAAACATTGTAATCAGATTCTCTGTGATATTTTTATACCATGATAAATCTTTAAGGCACGATGAAAGAAAAGAAGTGGTTCCACTTTTCCTGTGACAGTCATTATCATGATTTAACAAATGCATAAACATTCTTAGTTAAACACACATGAATCACGTACAGAAGAGATTGTTCTGTCCATTTTCTGATTAAGAGAACTGAGAGGTTCTCTTCCACGGTTAGAATGACCTGTCATGGCCTAAATAGAGTTCAGTTTGTGACAGAGTTCCTGTCCTCTCAGCAGGCCTGTCCGAGGCCTGCTCCGAGGCAGTAAATTTTGTTTCTTCACTCGAGGTGACCCCTACACTAACTTTAAGTTTTATTGGGAATATTATTTTAGCTAAAATATAAAGTCTGTAAAAGCTACACTTTCTGCATTCTGAAGGGATTTGACAGAAAACCATTCTGAGAGACCAGCAGGATGAACAATTATGTTTTGATGTATGATTTGTATTTTTTTTTTTAGTTTTGTATTTACCTAAATAATTTGTTCAAGTTAAAAAAGTTTGTGTACAGAAGATTAGAAAACTTTCGAAAGTTCAAAAGTTAGTGTGATGTCATCAGCTGTCAGTAAAAATTATAAAACTTAAAACTTTGATTGTGTAAAAAAGCATAAAATATATCAAACCTTGTCTGACCTTCTGTGAGCCATTTCATCTTTAAATGATGTTTCTGCTCTGAAGAACGCTTGAGTTTTACAGAATTCCTACTGGGAAGGTTGGCTTTTCTCGTGTGTTTTATCAAAATCCAATTGATTTCTCCTTTTCTCCAGATTATGTCTATACTGATCAACAAGCCAATACCAAAAGTCACAGCACACTGATCCTTTGGTTTGAAAGTGCAATGTTTTATTTTAAAAGCTGCACAACAACAAACAGGACCAAAAGGTTTTATAGATAACTAAAAAAAAAACATTTTCTGCAAAAGTACACTATGAATGCTGAATGATTTCACTACAGTTTAATAAAGAAAAGTTAAAACAAGCAGAGCAGAAGTTAAAACAAGAAAAATAAGCTAAAATGGATTGAACTCCATCATTCGAGCAGCAGTGAAATTATTCTGCTAAAACAACAAATAAAAAAAACAGCAAATCTGTAAAACTAGCAAAGCAGACACAAACTAGGATAGAATAGAATAGAATAGAATAGAATAGAATAGAATAGAATAGAATAGAATAGAATAGAATAGAATAGAAT